CACTCATTAAACTTAATATGACACGCCTTTTTTGTTGTAAACTGGATAGCTGTTGCGTTAAATGATTGCAAAATGTATTGAATGAACGGAAGGCGAGTTTCTTTTGTCATTAGATCCGTAGAAAACGATTGGAGCTTATGTAAAGTGCTCGTGGAGTCGGCGTCGATGCGAGCCGCTAGAGCAAGTTCCGTTGAGCCTTGTTGACATTATCGAAAGCAAGCACAAACACCGATCGAACTCAGACCTCGGCCCATGTTTACACATTGTATATTTCGAAAAATAAATAAATTGTCTTTCTGCGATGTTTCCACGAACAGGTCAATGCTAAAGAGATAAATGTATGTTTAACTATGGTTAAGAGAAAATAACTATTGCATAAATTGTGTGTATACAATACATACATCAAAGTATTTGAAGATTTGATAGCAATAGCAACCGTTGTCTTAAATATACAATTCCTCAAACAGTTCATCAAAGAAAAGTTCTCATTCTGCTCACTATTAATTAGCGATGATGTACCACTTCGACTGCTGTAAAACGAGCTATTAGCTAAAAAAGCCCCTTAAATTATGAAACAATTTTACATATTTTATTATATTCCCATAATTACTGTAGGTATACGAATAATTAATAACAGAAGCTAAAATGCTACCGATTGCAGAGCGCCATCCGATGTAAATTACCGCTCACCGTAACAAATTATATCGATAAAAAATCGTGAAATACGATTATATTATTAATCGAATCAATTTCACGGGAGCTGTGATCTCATATCTATACTCAATTAAGTCGACCTCCGAGACTGAGGCTTCGTTTAACTATAATGTAACATCCTAAAGTTGGTTCTCAACACAAGCTTTAGGCTTTAATGCAAGCAAGCTTAGAGCTTATTTCTGCGACTGTAAATGTAATAAGATAGATGAAGAATAGGTGTAAGTATAAAAATTGCAATTATCTTTGTTGTGAATCCTGCGCCTTGACAATGCGGGTAGCGATGCACTAGGGCGGCCAGCGTAGTCCGCTCGATCGCTCGAAGAGGCGTGAGCGATGATCGCGCGATATGAGCAGTCGCGCCGCGTCGCCGCGACATCGCGAGGCTTCCGTTCCCGCGACCGACTCCGTGGGAACCGCTTTATTTTCGTATTTAAATTCGACCCTCATTAAACTGGTTTGCTTCAAAATTCGCTGCCTTCTTTCGACGCCTTTTACTCAACTTTTTATGGTTCCGTTCGACATTTACTGTTTGTGATTATTTTTATTTTAAGTCTAGACCTCGCTGGGAGTTGTCTCACAATGAGCCGCTTCTGCAAAGAGTACCAGTTTGTCTTCATTTGTAAGAGCTTCGCGTTATTGATAAGCGAACACTTCGAGCTTACTTTACGTTTTCTTTTAATAGGTTTCATGACATGAATTGGTCGTATATATTTTTGTTTTACGTCAAATCTTAAAAACACAGTAATAATCTGAGATAAGGCAACATACGTTTAATATTCGATAGATACTGTTTAGATTTCATGTTAATTTAATTTGGGCAATATAAATTAATGGATGGAGAAAGAACTGGTTCTCGATCAGTGGTCAGTTGGGAAGAGAAACGTAGGTATCAGTGGCCCATTATATTTAATTAATACAGGACGATTTATGTAGTAGATACGGTCGCGTGTAATTTTTCTTATTATACCACCACGTAGGTATTTGGAAGTACTTCATTATTCACATTTGAGTTATGGTTATAGTTTTTCGTCGTGATTGTACCTTGGCGTCTATTAAATGATTTTTTACAAGTACTTTATGTAAATGTGTAGTCATAGCTATATCTTTATCGCATTAATCTGAAGGTTCGGTAATTATTTTGTAACATAAGTTACTTACAAATTAAATGTAAGTGTAAATAGATAGAGATATTAAGGTACCTGTGGGAATTTATTGGCTAATAGTAATTACTTAATTTTAAGAAATCGAGAGTCGGTCGTTGTGAGCCTTGTGATAATATCTTAACTCTTAACTAACATTTACCAATAAACAATTCCTCATTGCCGTTTACAAGTATTTCTTCATTGTGTAACATGAATACAAAATAAAAACACACACACACACAAAAAGCACGCAAATAAAAGTTTCAATCGCTGTTACGAAACAAAATGGCGACTAGAACGCGACCGGAAACGCCATTGAAAAGACATAAACGCGATTCTTAATTCGACAAATTATTGCTAACGGATTTTTCACCTTAAACACTCGTAAAAAAGTTTCATTATCACATTTAATTATGTTAATATGATAGAGGGGTTATCTTTCCCCGAAATGGTGCTCACTTCCCCACGGTATCACCTTACACCGGATGGTGGGTAACCCTGCAGTGCAAGTTACTCTAAAACCTTACTGAACACTGTAGTTATTTGAAACAACACTTTAAATTGAGTAGACTAAGCCTCAAAGTACTTTGAAGTGTCTCCAAGTCCAATATTTTGAGCGTGGAACTATTTGCCTTTTGGGTTTTATTTTGAATTCTGCTTTGTGTGGTTATGATAGAGTTGATTTTGGGGTGGTGTGTGATAGTATCGGATACCGGAAGGACACATTGTATAGGCCTTAGCTACCTGTTGATAATTTCCATTGTGAGCGATGAACGTGCACAATACTTGTGTTGTATGATAGAAGAAGCTTTAAAAGCATTCCTTTGATGAGTAACACTTAACTCATGGCTTCGACTTGTCCTTTTGCAAAAAGATGTAAAGATAAAGAAAAGTACATATTTGTCACAAACCTAATGTGTTATATGTAAATATTAGTTCACTTGAAAAAGGCTTGAAAAAGAATGCACTGCCACAAGATCTGATAGTTTTCTGGAATTTCTAGGAATAGAACAAACTTTGTGTTGAAGCCTGGTGTACAGCAACGTTAGAAGTAGGCTCTTTTCATGTTACATGGAACTCATAACATAATTGGCTAAACGATACACCAAAAATTACCTCTTTAATTCCTTCCAAGTACTAAGGACATGACAAGGTATTTAAAACCCCCAGTATACTATAAATTAGATCCTTAACAAGATACGTCACCAACAAGGTGTTACGAGGAGCAACACCAGCGCATGTTCATTTGTTACCAATAAATATCTCACGCAAAACTAAGTCGTCAAAAGCTTTTAAGTCTCGGCGGCTCTTTTCAGGCGTCAAGAACAACCGCTTTAAATGACTATACTTTTGAATTAGCGTCCACTCAATTCATATTTATATCCGCCATTTTTCATGCGCAACGAGCAGCGCATACGCAAATGCAAGCCATTAATAAATTACAGAAACACACAGCCACATTTGATCTTTACGTCACTGTGTGCTGCATGTGTGCACTTCCTCTTGTGTTGTCTGTGTGTGTGGAGGATTGTGAGAGGGAGGGGTGGGGCGTGCGGGGGACTTCCCGCGTAGCACCTGGCGCTCAGAGGTTACATACATCGACGGGATCCCATTGATTTGTGGCGAGAACCACTTGAACTTACTGCACTGATCTGATTTACCCTTTGTTTGTCTACTCCTTTGTCGTGTAATAATAAGTATATCCATGCTAATGTATAGGAAACATTTGTGGCAAATTTTCACATTAGTTTAGTTATTTTAAACCACCTCGCCAATGACTGGTATTCTGAGAACAAGAAATATACGTACTTTTGGTAAACACGTTTCAAACTTTGTAAATACAGAGTTGTGCAATAGACAATGAAGGATTTAACGAAACTGTGTAGTTTCGTATGGTACGTGTATACCATTCCATATCTTAATTTTCGGTGTACAATACATTTTGACAAGTTCAGAGAAGCTTTGAACAATCCTTAAATAAACAATACACGTAGATAGACTAAAATGGCGTCAAATACTCTTTCCAAAAATCATACGTTCAAAAGCCAATGATTCAACACTCGAGCCATGATGACAATACTGACCACATCCTCTATTTGTTTAAGTGAAAGGCAATTGTAAACCTCTTTTGTAAAGTTTTTAAACCCTTTTGTAAAGTTGTACTAAGTTCAAAAAGAAGAGTCCTTTTTGTAAACACATAAAGAAGTATTGAGTCAAGATTATGTATGCGTTGCCAGTCCTATAATTCAATAAAAATTAACTTCGCGTTTCAAAATCCACATTTATTATATCCAATCAATGTGGAGTGAGAAAAAAAATGTTAATTGCGTAGAATTGGAACCGGTATGAATTAGTGATCTTTATCTTTTGTATTAAGTGGACTAGACGCTGATATATTACCGGAGAAATACTTCTTTACATTGCTAGCATCTTGGGAAATAAATATAGTTTGCATATTAAAAAGAAATACAGACTAGTTGTGTACACAAAATTTCTAAATCCATTTGTCAACGTTATCTGCGTCATCGACGATTTTATCTCTATTCTTTGATTTATCCATTATCTGTCATCTGTTACTTTTGACATGAGATCTTCAATCCCTGGTATAGTTAAGCTGATGTCAAAATATTTGCTTTGATCAAAGGGCCTGTGTGGTGTCACGTGGTGACTGCCGACGTCGTCCAAACATTGACAAGGGACGCGGCTCGCGGCGCGCCCAGCAGATAACAATACCGCGAACAATGAGCGCCGCCTGCGTCGCCTGACCCAACGACACACCTACAAACAACAAACTGTACTTGAGACTGATGTTGTTTGACTTATTCTCAAGTATTTGCCTCAACAACGAAGGACCTCTGTCGTTCTTCATTAAGCCCCACTACAGGCCTCCTGCATAACATCCTGTCTCAGTTTCATTCATTTGTCATAGTCAAGAATCAATTGAGGTACTCTATGTTACTGCCAATTTGTACCACTTCCTGCCTACCTGTAGCCAACCTCTAACCATTATTATGCAATTTACTAAATCAATATGACTATTTAATTGTCCTGTTTGAACACAGCATGTTCATTGTCTATAAATTCCAACCTTTGAGGGATTAGTGTCATTGAGCGTTACTATTGACTGTGGAATGCACCGGTACTATGTATTGCGTGCGCAGATCTATGAATGAAGACGGACTGCACTTTATGGTGCCACAAAAACCGAGGCCCTTTAGAAAATACTCCGACGGATATACGGAGCGCAATATTTACTACGCCCCCCGACCCTTTCACTTCCTCTACGGCGACAACCTGCGTTGGAGCGAGACTGCGTTACGCAAGCGCCTCGGCCAGAGCGAGACAGAGGATTCATTCATAACCGAGTCCGCCATCCGGTCCGCGTTCTGGTCGATCACTTCATCTCCTTCTAACGCGCAGTCTCCTCTCGAGTGCGAGCAGGTGATACCGGATGCTTAGCGATATACCGGAGCTTCGATCGGAAGCTCTTAAAAAAAACCTCGTACTCTTTCACGTCACCTCGAGCCGAGTCACATCCCGGGGCAGCGGGTATCTAGTGCACCCGCGGCGCCGGCTCGTCGCGTATCGAAACTACAAGTGTGTCGCTGTAATGTGAAATTACCTCGTTTAATGAGGGGACAGTCGCAATTGGTGATTTTCGTAAGCTCGCTGGGAGTGAGACGGTGCGAGCTTCGCCCCTCCGCCGAGCGCCCATTCAGCTGCGAGTAGTCGGTCGCCGGCCACTGCGACGCACGCGCGCGCTCACACCTTGCTACTCTACTCTCTGGATACTACTCCAATTTTGACATGACCGGTTCGGAACACGAACGCGAACGATCGACCGGTGTCCACACAGTGTCTGCTCACTAGTGATTTCTCTAATTGGTGCTTTTGAGTGAGTGTCGCCGGGAATGTACGAGAACTCGTCCTGGACAACTTTACAATGGCCCAAATTGCATTAAATGGGTAATTGGTGTACGTCATTGGATAATGGATTCGGCTCATATACCTAGTATACATAATGTGTCCTCAGCAGGAGCGTGGGCTGCTCTGAATTTTGCACTTGACTCCCGGCCCTACTCTTTGTTTGTTGCCGTTTCATTTCGATATTAAAATTCAACAATGCGATTTCTGACCTCATGAGATGAATACGAAACTGTATATTTGTAATATTTATTGTTTGAGTACATAGTTACGAACATTCGGTTTATATTGTTCATTATCAATTGAGTACGAACACAAAATAACCGCGATAACAAACTTCCAGGGAACATTTCATGTAAATGCAAAAGCTTCATGTATTTATGTTGTGTACCGAAACCAAATGTAATGCAAGTATTAGTATATTATTAACTAAGTTTTGCTCTAATTATTTGTAGCACTAATTAGCTGATGTTGCACTGCAGCTGCTGAAAAACTTTCAGTGTAACATACAATGTTGTGATACTGCGAAATAATAACATTTTAAATTTATCTTTCTCACCTATGAATTTAGCGAGCTAGGTACACATAGTACATAATTATCTACTTTCAATTACCAGTTGTGGTATCCACTTAGCAGTTGAGTGCTTAAGAAATAGTTGTGAGTAGGAGAAGGCGGCACATAAATCACTAGGCCGTTTGTTGTGCTCTGCCTTTCCACCATTACTTACGAATACAGGTTAACAATTAAGACTGCTATTACGGCGGTCCTAATAAATCCTGTGGGGATTTCAATTAGTTGATTTCCAAGCGTTTTTCCCGTTAACGTACATTGTCAGAATACCACGCGTCGTTTTCTCTGGTGCCTCGACACAGGTACGGAGCGTTATCAGTCGGCTGCCGCCGCGACCGTGGGAATAAAAGAAGCGTGTTAAACAATAGCACCTAGATAAGAACATCGTCAGAACCCATTTGGGGTACCTTTAAGTAATTACTTGTGTTCATAGTGCGGCGCACATTGGTCGGTACTCGCCTAAATCCATTTTGCATTGGAAACTAGATGATTCATACTTGGATTAGTTTAAATTACTTCGGTACCTACCTTTTCGGTTCAGCGATTATGCTAATGTTGAAATAATGTTATATTTTGCGTGTTTCTATTGATAGTTACGAATGAAAGGTTGAATACTGTATCTGTGTTCAATTCCAGCATAAACTAGTTGAGGATAAACTTTGTTCACTTTGATTTGAATAAAAACTATTTCGTAATACTTTGGAGATTCATTGTGGTAGATGTAAATTAGGTAGATAAATAAACAGTTGTTATCAGATAGTAAGTGATAATTTTACAAAATAGTGTGGTTCTTAGTCAGTTGGTATCGCGCCTGTCAATTCCGGTTCGGTAACAATGACATTCAGAGAGTTAACTTTACTGTATTTATTATATTCTTTTCCATTCAGTTTCAAGATATTCTCACGTCATTGACCTTTATATGGCAGTTCTTTTGTTGTTATTTACTTTAATTTTGTTGCTACGGGAATTTGGAACTTAAGTCTTTAGCATTTAGGCCTAGTCGTAGCTTGGTGTAATTTTCATTGTAGTTAATGACATTGGTGTAGTACAGGTAGCACTAGTTACCTTCTTTCAACATTTTTGTTCCTATAGTGGTAAACACGCTAGGGTACATACAAAATCCCCTCGTTCCCAGCAACGGATACAGGTGTTTATTTTGAAGCCATCCTGCAATCCCCTACTTGTGGTTTTTTAACTTTTTTCGCAAAAGAAACCTTTATGATGAAGCTTTCATTCGAGATGCGCACAAAAACAACATGTCTGCCTATTTTGTTCCTTTTCACTACTTGCACATTTAGTTACAATGTAGATTTTTAACGATAATTTGATTATTTAAGTACATTTATATTTGTTTATAACTAAGTATAGCCTTTTGGGTTTCTTTTCTACAACAACTATATACATCTTCATAATTATTACTACATGTAATGAAACCTTAAAAAAAATTTAGACCCTCAACACTGAACTATTACTGAAGTGAAATTAAAAATATTACTTATTTTTTTACTGTGTGTATTCACGTTTGACAAGCAAATCTATACAGGCTGCCAATAATATCACCTGCCATAAAAGTGTAAAAAAATATTAATGATTTTAATTAACTACTTAAAACATAGAAAAACACGTATTTATAGTTTGTTTATTTAAAGAAAATCCCCAAGAACTTCTAAAAGTAAACATTTTAACGTTACTAGTCACGCGCCAAAAGCCTTAGAATAACTTGTGTATTTACTATTCATACACAATAGCTTGCGCCCGCGCAACTAACGTCATTGTGCTCCAATTTTGAAAACATAATTCTTCTATGGAATTTGAATAGTGCCGTGGTAACAGTTGATTCATAACACTTTATTGGTCCATAGAATATAATTTAAAATCAATCTTGCACCATATAAAAACTGAGTGCGTTACATAGAAACTATTACTTTTGAAATATTGATGTATCTAATGGTGGGTAAAAGTTTACGTCTTTGTCTGGAATATTTACAAATAAGAACTAATATGCAAGATCTTTTTCTTCAATTTCTTCATTTAAAGAGGTCACTGTTGTTGGCAATGGTGGCTAGTAGCATAGTCTTACTTCCAAATAACCTGATTTTATCACTGATCACATTTTGTATCGTGAAATTTTTTACACGATTACTTACTTAAGTAAAATATCAATGTTTAAAAGGTTTCGCGTCGCTCGTCCGAAACGCGAGGTGTACGAACAAGCGTCGAATTTTCGCAGTCACCGAACCGTGCACTCTGACTCACAAAGGAGCGTTAAACTGAACGCTTAGCATTCAAATTCAAATGGTCCCCTCACTAGCTGTTCTAAAAACGAAATGAACAAATCGTTTCGAAAGTCTGTACTAGAACATAGACGAATAAAGGGCCTATAACCGCTAGAGTAGGGCAAAAATAAGGCCTAAAAGCTAGACAGTAGATTAAGTCACTTTCCCACTAATATTTAAAGGTATACTCACAAAAATACAACTATATTTACTTTAAATAAATCTACATGTATTTTTATGAGGATTGATATTTTTAACATAGCGTTAAACACGATGTTAATAGTCACTAATGTCGGTGAGCTCGGTCTGGGCACCCGTTTCTCCGCGACCCAATTTCCTGAGTGATGAAATGGATATCCGAACGAAACTCACCGGTATCAACATATAAAATTAATTCTTCCGTATTCTCTTTTAGTGACAGATTAGTTTACGACCCTCGTAACTCCTTGGCTACTAAAATCTGAAGAATAACTTTCATAAAAGTAACTGTGTCGACTAATAGCTCAACTAAAGTGACATTAAATGTGGCTGTTAAAACTACAAAAGGATGCCGTATAGTTTTAAAATGATTGTGATGTATCTTGTAACAATTGTTCATAAAACGAATGACAGTATTTTTGTGTAGATCTTTATTAATGTTGCCATAAATTAAAGGGTTAATTACCTCGCTATTGTTTGACATGTAAAATAAGTAGTGGGAGATTATTTACGCGTTTTGCGTTTGATTATTTCAGTGCGTTTTATTTCACGGGACTTTTAAATAGTTTTATATTTGTTGACATATTCTGTATATAGGTACGACTACACATGTATCTATACGAGTATTATGAAAATGTAACGTCTGCCCTCAAATGAACATAAATACATTGTGTTACATAAAATGGTTGCGACACTGAACTTAACCTTATACCAAATGAATTAACATACAAAAGTACTCAAAATGCATCCATTTGAATGTCTAATTAACGCATTTATATTTATTCTCCTAAACGATGAGTTCGCGATTGTAATTTGAATTTTTATTGCGTACCTAAAAGTTAATTGTGCCCAAGTTGTGTTGTGTTTTAAATTACATTGAATTTACGATGACACACTTTTGCTTTTTATGTTTCAACATGGCTTCGGATATTTTTTGGTAACAAAAATAACGTCCGTTTATCTAGTCGTCTAAGCTCTAAAATTTATTTAGTGCTAATTTATTTAGTTCGCTAGCCTATTACTCGGGTGTTTTCATTGCATCCTGTTGTTTGTCATAAAGATGTATTTAACGTTGACCAATAATCTCTTCATAAACCGCGGTCGCCATTTTGTTGAGTCCAGTCATCGAACGACTATTATGCCGCCCACGTGTTGTAAACAAACATTAGGAATATGGAACTCGTGGAGTTTTCCTCGCGAAGATTTTTCTCGCGGGTGCGCGGCGCGTGCGTGGGCGTTGGGAGGCGTTCGCCAATCGCCTCGGAGCCCGCCCCACGACCCCACGCCTCACATCTACTCGCCCGACTCTATCTCTAAGACACCCACGCCAGAATGTCGCCCAAACCATATCTATTTTATGACAGTCGTTCTACAATTATATTTTTTCTCGATAATTAGCCAGGTGCCGGAAAATTTCTGTCTCACTTACGACTGTGCTGCCAAATTCCTAAGCTCAGAGTCATTTCTTTCGAATCTGACGTTAATTTGTCGACAGACAGTCCGTCTCTTTGCAACTGGGCTCTAATTTCATATTTCGCAACACATTCACAGTAAGTCGCTGCAATGAATTTTACCTTAATTGCTATGTAGATTTCTAAATGAGCAAAAACCCTTATCAGGTATCAGATATCTGCGTGGACTGTGCACTTATGTCTGGTACCTACTTATTGGTTTTTTTAAACGCAGCCAAATAAGGATAAGTCGTTCATAGTTTTTTCGTCGAATTGAGCAACAAGTCACATTCAGTCTACGTGACATACTAGTGTGTCTGTCTAGAACCGCGACACACAGTACTAACGTACCTCTCTAACTTACCAAGATTAAGAAATAAATCCAACTCGAATCAAAAGTTTAAAACCAAAATAATCATGTTGGTTTTCGTATTCCTATTTAAGCTAAACACAAAATCGAATGAACGTTCATTGAGATTTCAGATAATTCACCCAAATTACTGAATCATCTTCATTAAGTAGTTGAATCAATAAATAACAGTTATTTGGTCTAGCTCGTAAACAAGACAAATACGTTTGTCCCAACCAAAGTGATACAATATGAGCCGGAGCAGAGCGAGCGTCAGCCCGTAATAACGTTTTAATTGAATGGTCGGAGGTCAAATCACTTGCGCCCGCGTGACCCAACCTCGACACCGAGCCACTCAGACTCAGAACAAACCAATACATGTCGAGCCTAACACAATTTACAATTTCAACAAGATTGCATAAACTGAAAGAATTTACGCTGATCGCATGCTAATATTGACTCAAGCCACACTAACATTGTTACAATCATTATAATGTGGCAACACTAAACAAAGTATAAAAGCTCGCTTGCTTGCGCACAAACTGCACAATCTATTGCTATTGTTCACATAAACAACCCGCCGAATTGTTAGCTCTTGTTATACAAGCTCGCATTGTTCCACATTTGAATCGTGCGTCCCGCGTCACTCGATTCGCCGAAGCATCCATTGTCGCCATGTTTGTTGATGCGCGCGCAATCCGTGCAAAACCGTGCAAAATCTCGCGAATACTTTGGCCGAAATCAAAACATGCATTGATACGCGCCACGGGAACAAACCAGTTCTCGAACGCATCACAATGTAGCAAGTGGTTGAATAAATGAATTCCTTTGCCTCATTTATGTCAAGAAAGCCATAAAACCCTGCTTTATTTCAATAATGCAACAGCTAATGTCTTTTCGGTCGTAACAAAAAACCGAGTACTAGCGGTACTCAATGCAACCGTTATATTCGTATCCCGCAGTTATCGTAAATCCACTTAATTTAGAAATATTAAAATCTACAACAGAATTAGTGTCTGCTTCATCGGTCCAGATATGCGGGTGTCCACTTTCCTATTAAGATGGGGTCGAAGATGCGACCCCAATTGACCGCGGGTTCATGCCGCACTACGATACGCACCTAACGTTTAAATAATACATGTTTGCTTTATGAATAGGTACATACGCTACACAAGAGCCATCAATTAGTGTCGCGCGACATTTGCTACCGTGCACATATTAGCACCTAATGTAGGGTATTGTGATCGACTGCACCCACGCATTAAATTTTTTGTTATTTAACACTGTTATCATACAGGTATATATGTGACACACTGCCCGAAACGAAGTGTGAACTATAAACCGCAAAAACAACCAATTATCCTCATTCATCAGCAGTGAGTGGCAAACATTTGACCAAAGGACTGTGTTGTATGTAGCATCACAATAAACAAAGGGAACCTAATGCTAGAGAACGTGATCAAAATGTAATCTAGTAACGCATAAGAGACAAATGTAATGCGGTCGGTGTCATTGAGGCGTGGGGTGACAAATTGGGCGCGTCAATCGAGTTAGTTGACCCGGGCCCCGGCCAATCTGTGCTCACACCACACGATTAACCGCACAGACACGCACTAACTGCCCTGTAATAGATACGAGCTATCTAACGCACTCAATTGTATCGCACAGATTATAAAAGGGTTACAACCAATTAGAGAGACCGTCTTGCGAATGACTCCATCGTTTGTCTTCATTCCGAACGATTTGTTACGAAGTATTACACATTGTATTTTTCTGACTACATATATTGTATTTATAATTTTAACGAAATCACAAATTTCTATCTATAATTCAACGTTCCAAGTTATTAACTAGACTAAAGATAAGCCCACACCGTAAGTATATTGATTATGTGGTTTTTTATCAAATGACATTTCAGTCTCCTTCCAACTCTATCTTAAATTTTTAATATCAAAAACGAAATACTTTTATCTAATTTACTTTACTTTTCGCAATAAATTGTCAGCTAAAACCCAAATCATACAAAAGCAATCAGTCATGATTATCCTTCAAAACATTCAAAGATCACGGAGTCAACAGACGTTCAACTGGAGTGACCTCTATTAAACATAATTTTCGCTTTACGATCCGTTGTGAGCTGCCGCCATACCGCACGTTATTTGACTATTGTCCTCCAATATTGGTCGAGTCAACTAGACTCATTGAATGCTGCTACTTAAGCCACAAAGGAGGTTCAAACGTCAATAGAAACTCTCCCGCTTTGTGCCCTCTGGACTTAATCTGGACTGCAACCGATTGTAATAGGTGTATTATACAATTTAGTTGATTGATTACTTGAGAATTGCAGTTTGATACTTGTCTACTTCAAATGTTTGCCAAGGAAAGATTCATTCTAATGTAGATAATTCTATGCTCGTTCTAATCGCAAAAGTTGGGAAAAATTTATTCGATCCACACGCGAGAATAACTATTTGGATTTCGACGAAATTGGCAAAAGTAGACCATATTTTAAAGTAACAACAATCTGTAGAATTTATTATTATGATTTCATCACATTGAAAAACCACAGGACGTCAATTAATAAAGACAAAAGTAAATACATTTTTAAAACATTTTGATGGCCCTTCAAACATCGTATTCAAGTTTTAGTATCTCAGAGCGCGTCATTTGTCCAATAACACTGTACGACCAATAATATGACAGTTATGCTACTAAATGTGATTTTGATTAGAGACAATTCGTCGCCCCCATCATGTCTAAAGTATGGTAGATTGACTAATACTATGTCAATTGGTATCGTAGCTATATTGTACCATAACATATAAGCAACATTTATATATACTTCAAACACAAAACGTGAGAAAAATATCTCCAAATAACATTCAATAATGGCAGTTATATATCTCTGTAATCTGTATACAAAAAATAAATTAGTACCAAAAGATAAGCTCCAACTTTAAAAAAATATATTTCCTCTATAACCGTGTGAACTAAATCCAATAGAAACACATTGAAAAGCGTCTTACAAACATATTACCATTAATCACTTGTCGAACAATATTTTTAATAACAACTAACCGTTTGCCACCCCTTTTACATGGAACATTTTTAATAAAGCAAAATGAAGATGTTTACATGCACTTATTAACCCTTAGCCTTACAATGGGGTCTCTAGTACCATATCTATCAATTCCATCAATTCATATTATCGTTTATTAAAAAATGTTTTGAGTATAACTATGAATATTAAGAAGATAAACATTGGATTATTATCTGGCAACACCATGATTAAATTACGTTCGACGCCCACATGTTTTAAGTAGATAGATATTCAATTATTATTTGTTGAATATTCTAACAATACTGAACACAAACTTAATTTTATAATCATATTTGTTATTAGAAAGTGTTGTTAAAAACTGTAGTTTTCCGTTACAGCTCTCATAGTTAACATTATTGTAATGTACCCACGTCGTGGTCACGCACAACGAAATAAGCATAGACAATTATGGTTCATTACAACCACCGAATGTTCACTTCATGTTGAACAGGTTGACCATAAACGAACATCGTGTTTTTTTAAGAAACTTAAACATAGGTCTTTGAGCTGAAAACATACTTGCTAAAATTAATGATAATAGATATTTGTTTAATAAAATAATACTTGATGCTATTACTCAAATTGAATTCATAGCAGTTCGTAACTTGCAATAGCCTTAACTCCGAGTATTTGCGTACAGCGAATATGTGCTAACTTTCTTAACGGTGTTAGTAAATTGAGTGGGACATTAAGTTAGCAAAATGATCAGTCTCGGGTAGTGGTTTGCGTGAGAACTACCCGCCGCGGTCGCGGGGTTACACGCGGCGGGGTGGGGCGAGGGTGGGAACACTCGGGGTAAGTGGGGTACCAGGCCGGAAGCGCCTGCATCGGATCGTTCCGCACACCTGTGGGAATGTTTGCCACTATTTGTTTACCACCTCATGCAATACACTAATACCCTGGTACTTTAACAATTATCATAGAACCGCGTTATCGTTTATCTCTTAATTACCCACGCCGCTCAACAATATTTATAGCTATTACTGTTAATAAAAAATAATGTTGTTTTAATGTAGTATCTTTGCAAGCGGATACGTATTCATCTCACACGTCAGAAATAGGAGTCAAGTACAAAATTACAAACAATATGTCTTTACAACCAGGTGCTGTTATATGAAGTCACAAAACAATGAACAGTGATACAAAAAGAATGAACTTTTTCCCCGCCACGTGACAATAGGAAAATCGCCAAAATGAAAAATAGTGAAGAGTGTTTAGACTGACGATAAAAACTGAACTCAAACGGAAACAGTGTGATATTTATTGATCTTATTTAATTGTTTAGTAAATAGTGTAACAAAGTCGTTGTAAATATAAATATAAGTGAAAAGAACTATTAAAACCATCGGCCTGCTGGCGGGTTGTGATACGAACTTCGAGAGCCCTCAGCAGACCACTCATCAAGGCGACGGCGGCCATCGCAGGCATGGGAATCAAAGTCATGATGAAAGCTTTCAATAAGCCAAAAGGTAAGATCCTTAAAACGAATTTAAGATAAAAACTCGCAATTACTCATAACAATGTTTACCAAATGCCATTTTCCTTCTACACAATCGTATCACTGTATTAAATTATGTTCTAAAATAGCATTCGAATTTCAAATATGGATCGCCGAAGGAATCGTT